CAAGCCTGACTCAAATCCTGGTTGACTGTGGCCACGTCTCAGCCCCGGATGGGAGCCACAGGGCAGGCCTCAACTTGGGCTTTTGCAGCTGGAATGAGATCAGTGAGTGAGCGTGCATATCTGGCTGGGGTCAGAGGCAGAGGGTAGAAGGCTCTGCTCCTCCTCTCCCGCCCTTATCATTCTGTGGCCAGTCCTCGGGGACAGAGGGCAGAGAGAGGTTTTTTGGTTTTTGTTTTGGGGCCACACACGGTGATGCTTGGGGGTGACACCTAGCTCTGCACTCAGGAATTACTCCTGGTGGTGCTCAGGATACCACTGGGGATGCCATTGGTTGTCTGCCTACAAGGCAAGCACCCTACCCGCTGTACTATCTCTCTCCAGCCCTGGAAGGCAGAGAGTTGTTAGAGTGGTAAGGGCACTCGAAGTGTGCCTCACTGAGACCAGGCATGTGACACCCTGAGTCGGGCTGGGAACGTGCCCAGCCTCTGGAACTTCCTTCTGTGGGAGAGAATGACGGGCACGACCATGTGGCCTTGGCCCCATCCTGATCAGGCTTCAGGGCTGATATCCTTTCAGCATCCCCTCTTGAGGGTGGCCGAGGACACAGGCTCCCAGAAGTTGTCTGGTAAGGGGAGGTCACACGCCAGTGAGCAGAGGGAACTAAAGTCACGCAAGGCAGGGTCTCACTCCTGAGTCCAGGGAGAGACCTGCACTGGGCAGTGGGCGGCCGAGGACTCAGAACGATGCGTGGCTTTACTGCCCTGCATTCTTTCTCTCCTGTGGAGCTGTGAACCCTGGAGAGACCCAGCAGGTACCCTGCCAGGTGGTCTTGGATCGGGTGCAGCCAGACCTGGGGGGGGGGGGGATTTTTTGAGCAGAGAACCTGAGCCTCCCCCAGGCCAACATGCCCTCCCCGGCACCTGACGGGCTGCAGGGAAAGGTGGGCAGACTTTTCTGTGGCACAAGCTAAGATAGGAATGGGTGGGGGGTTTTAATGGTTTTTCTTTTTTCTTTTTTTTCTTTTTTTTGGCTTTTTGGGTCACACTCAGTGATGCTCAGGGATTACTCCTGGGCTCTACAATCAATAATTATTCCTGGTAGTGGTCGGGGGGACCATATGGGTTGCTGGGAACCCAGGTCGGCCGTATGCAAGGCAGACGCCCTAGCCGCTGTGCTATCTCTCCAGCCCCTTTAATGGTTTTTCTTTTCTTTCTTTCTTTTTTTTTAACGTCTCATTTTCCTATTATGACCTTAATATGATAGCTCTTTATAAAAAATTCAGACAGGACAAAAATAGACAATGGAGCCGGTGACGCTTCCCTGCAGCCTCACCCCGAGCTCGTCTCCTTGTGCCCTGCTGGGCCAAGACCTCGACCTTCAGGACCCGGCTGGGGATACGTGGACTAGCAGATGGTCTGGACAGGGGGTGTGGCGGGGCCAGGAGCTGCAGCCCAGACGCTTCATGTTTGCCCCACTTCCCAGGATTCCCGAACAGGGTCTGGTCCAGGTTTGCAGGAGCATTTAGGGCTGGGCCTTGACAATTGAAGGCTCACGCCCAGATTGGTGCCAGGTGTGCCATCTCTCTCTTGGGCCTTCCCTCTTGCCCCTAGATACATCTGTTTGGTCTCTCTCAGTTCTCTTCTGCTTACAACCCCTCTCCCCCCCCCCCCCCGCAGCTGCACCCCACGCCATCTTCTTCCTGTTCCAGCTCATTGTGGTTGAGCAAAGATGTGCACCCACCCTCTCTGAGCCTGACCCTTGCCCTCTTGTGTGCCTCCATCTTTCCCCACCCAGCCTTTTTAGTGTGTGTGTGTGGGGTGGGGGGTGCCCTCTGAGATAGGAGGGACTCTCAGCCTCCAGGCTCACTCAGCTCAGGCCAGGTCCATGGCCCATAGCAGGCACACGAGAGTCTCTTCCAAGGGGATGCAGCTGGCTGTTGCCTGGGGGAGACCTTTGGAAAAGAGTTTCACCATTAAAAATAGCCATCATTGGGTTGGGGAGAGAGGACAGTGGGCCAGGTGCTTCCGTAGCATGTGTCTGGCCCAGGTTCAATCTGCAGGGTCCCCTGAGCGCTGCCAGGAGTGATCCCTGGGGTCTGAGCCAGTAGTAATCCCTGAGCACTTCTGGGTGTGCCCCACACCTCTAGCCATAAACCAAAAAATAAAAACAGGGGCGATAGTACAGCAGGTAGGTTGGGTGTCTGCCTTGCACCCGGCCGAACATGGGTTCAATCCCCAGCATCCCATATTGTTCCCCGAGCGCCGCCAGGAGTCATTCCTGAGTGCAGAGCCAGGAGGAACCCCTGAGCCTTGCCGGGTGGGGTGTGACCCCAAAAGACAAAATATTAAATAAAAGAGAAAGAAAAAGGAAACAAAAGCCACCACCCTGGCAAAGTCTTTGAATGGACTTGATCTGGGACCATTGGGTGCGTAGGGAGTTTGCATACGGAGTTCCCTTGATTCCGTCAGCTTCTTCACATCCACAAGAAGCTCGGGGCTGGGCTCATGGGGCAAGATCTCCAGTGGGAGGAACTCTGAAGCCCTCAGTTGAGGGGTGTGTGCTGTGCACACGTGTGTGTGCGCGCGCGCGTGCGCGCGCGCTGTGTGCACAATAGGGACCTGGGCCCTTCTGAAGCCAAACTCCCCTCCTCCACCAGGTCCCCTCCTTCCTCGGTCTTGATTGGACAGTTCCAGGCTGCAGACGTATCCTGCAGAGTTCTGAAGGCTTGAGGCCACGTTAGTGCACAGCTTTGCTCACGAGGACTCGTGGGCTCTCTGATTCCTGAGTGTCTGACCCTGTCTCTCCTCTTTGAACCTGGGCTTCTGAAATCTCCCAGCAAAGCCCAGCTCTCTTCCTTCACACATTATGTTGCTGTGCTTGCACTCAGGGAAATGTTCTTGCATTGTTTCTGTTCCTCATTCTATCCATCTTGTGCCTCTGTGCACAGTCTATTAAAAGAGACCAGTAGGGTTTTGTAGAGCAGTTTGAGGTTTCTGGGATGGAGAGTCCAGAGAAGTCCCGCCTAACTCTGCCCACCTCAGTTTCTCCTGTTCCTGAGTGGGGAATGCTCATTAGAATTGATGAGCCAGTTTCAGTACTTTATTATCAATGTGTTTCCATTAAGGTTCCTATCCTGGCATTGTGACCGATGACTGATGAGGGTGCCTGCGTGTGCAGTGTCACGCAGAAGGGTCTCACAGCCCGCAGGTCCCCAGTGAGCTGTTGATTTTCCTGCTGCTTATGTATTTATGTATATTTGCATTTGGGTCACACCTGTGCACTCAGTGTTTACTCCTGGAGTTGGTTGGGGAGTCCATATGGGTGCCAAGGATCGAATCTGGGTTGGTCATGTGCAAGGCAAGCTCCTTGCCCACTGTGTTATCGCTCTTGCCCACTACTGGTTCTTTGATGGACAAGAAAGATGGTTTCCGACCTCCTTTCACATGGGATTGACCTCCTTTTCCTCCTACTGCTCCTCCTCCTCAGCCTTCTCCTCTCTTTTTTTTAAATTTATTTAGATTTTTATTAGTGAAACACCATGAGATACAGTTGTAGATTTACAAATTTTTGTGCTTGGGTTTCAGTGACCGTCCTCTTTCTTTTCCACCTCCTCCTCCTTTTTATTTGTTTTTGGCCACTCCAGCAGAACACAGGGACAGCTCCTCCTAGCTCAGTGCTCAGAGGCCACTCCCGGCAGTGCCCAGGATCTCGTGTGGGTTATCTGTGCCACCTCTCTCTAGCGCCCGCTCCTCTTTGACTCTAGCTCAGAGCTGTGGACCATCCTGACCACCCCTCCCCCCCTCCGCCCCCCTCCCCCCCATGTCTGATAAACTCTTCATGCCCCAGGTGCTCTTGGAACCCTGTGAAGGCTCCAGTTCAGCTCTTGGGGAGGGCTTCGTGCTGCATGTGGGTGTGAGAGCGGCAGTGGAGGGTGAGGGGGGTGGGCATGAAACGGGGCTGGTGTTCCCAGCCCTGCACCTGACCTTGTTGTCCGGGCTCAATATCCCAAAGCCCAGAAACTTCTGACTCTATTCCCAGCAGAATCCACACTCTTGTCCCACAGAACCTGTGCTCTATCTCCAGGAGATGGAGAGGGAGGATTGTGCTTGGCCGGGGGGGGGGGGGGGGGGGAAGGGGGCGGGGGCGCGGGCAGATTTCAGGCCTTGTCCCTGGAGTCTGGGTGGCAGGAGAAATGTCTCCCCCCCTTCCCCCAGGCACATCTCTCCTCTGTAGGGTGGGCTCCCTCCACCCAGGCAGTGGTCCTGTGAGTTGGGGGTGTAGGGGAGCCTGAAGCTGGGAGATCACAGGGTGCCGAAAGCCTGGCAGAGTCTGCCTTGGTCTTGGTTGCTCCTGGCCCTCCGTCCTGGGGTGAGGTGTGAAGATGAGCGAGTGGAGACAACCCCATGGGGACACCCGCAGCCCCCCTCCCCCCAACCCTGCTCCACATACGTGACGGCACATCCCTGTCCACCACATCCTGTTCGCCTTCATTCCTGGCAGGCCTGGCAGTGACTCAGGGTCGGTGCGGGCAGTGTGGGCTCCTGGCCCCGGGCCTCAGTGTGAGCTGTTCTTTCCTGGGCTGGAGGTGGCTCAGCACAGAGCTATGGCTCTGGGGCAAGTCAGAGATGACGCAAACAGGCAGAAATTCTGTTGTCGTCTGTACCAGGGGATGTCAGAGTCTCTCCCCCACCCACCTCAGTACTTCCTTTCTGGGCCCCCTAGAGTCAAGCGAGGTAGGGGGTGATCACCTCTTGCAGGGGGGACAGCAACACTTACCCGCCCAGAAGGTGGCTGGCTAAGCTGCCCTGGGTGAGCTGTGGCTGTTTCTGGGCTCTGCCTGGGTGTCCGAGGGTGTCCTGGTGAGCTGAGGCCTGGGCGGGGAGGAGGCGCCTGCGTACAGGTCCCCCCCCCCCCCCCCGCCCGAGCGGTGGCAGGACTGGTGGAAGCGCCCTGTGCCCATGGTTCTCCCATCCCCTCCCGCCCCTCCCCACCCCCCGCAGGTGGTACAAACTGCACTCCAAGGCTGGCAAGAAGGAGAAGGAGCGGGGAGAGATCCAGGTCACCATCCAGTTCACCCGCAACAACCTGAGCGCCAGCATGTTCGACCTGTCCATGAAGGACAAGCCACGGTCGCCCTTCAGCAAGATCAAGGACAAGATGAAGGGCCGCAAGAAGTATGAGCTGGAGTCTGCCTCGGCCATCCTGCCCAGCAGCGCCCTGGAGGACCCCGAGCTGGGCAGCTTGGGCAAGATGGGCAAGGCCAAGGGCTTCTTCCTGCGCAACAAGCTGCGCAAGTCCTCCCTGACGCAGTCCAACACCTCGCTGGGCTCCGACAGCACCTTATCGTCCGCCAGCGGAAGCCTGGCCTTCCAGGGCCCGGGTGCTGAGCTTCTCACCCGCTCGCCCAGCCGCAGCAGCTGGCTGTCCAGCGAGGGCGGTGAGCACAGGGAGCGGTGCAGGGGGTCAGGGTGGGCTGTGAGTGCAGGGATGTCCGGCCGGGTCGACCAGATGCCCGATTGGGCTCAACGGGTCGACCAGATGACCCATGGGGTTGGACACCTAGGTTGATTTGCAGGGGGCGGGGGCGGGAAGTGAGCACAGCAAGCGGTGCTGGGGGGGACTGGGGCAGGCTGGTGAGCTCAGGGAGTGGTGCAGGGGGGGTGGGGTGGGCATGGGGCTCCCCTCCTGCCCCCTCTAACCCTGCCGTGTTTCTCCTCCTGCAGGCCGGGACTCCATGCAGTCCCCCAAGCTGCTCACCCACAAAAGGACCTTCAGTGACGAGGCCAGCCAGGCCCGAGGGGCTCCCATCCGTGCCCTCCTGGAGCTTCAGGGCCACCTGGACACGGCCTCCCGCTCCTCCTCGCTGTGCGTCAATGGGAGCCACATTTACAACGAGGAGCCCCAGGGCCCCCCGCGGCACCACCGCAGCTCCATCTCGGGCCCCTTCCCACCTTCCAGCACCCTGCATGGCCTCCAGGCGCGGCTCTCGGACGAGGGGCCTCCGCAGGCGGATGAGCCCCGGGCCCGAGGGGCCCGCAGCGGCAGCAGCTCAGAGGTGGCCCTGGGGTCTGAGGACCCAAGTGTCCAGGCCAGAGCGCCGGGAGAAGAGGCCGGGGTGCGGGTCATCGAGGGCAAGCCGGTGCAGGTGGCCACCCCCATGGTGGCCGAGAAGGAGGCCGAGAAGGAGGCGGCGCGGAAGGAGGAGCGGAAGCCCCGCATGGGCCTCTTCCACCCGCACCACCCGGGGCTGGGGCGCAGCGAGTCCGGGCGCCGCAGCTCGCTGGGGGAGCGAGGGGGCCCTGCGCCGGGGGCCTCCCCCCACCACACGTCCAGCGGGGAGGAGAAGGCCAAGACTAGCTGGTTTGGCTTGAGAGAAGCGAAGGAACCCACACACAAACCCAGGTAGGTCCTGGGCGGGCCCCCGCTTCCTTCGGGGGCAGAGGCTGGGGTGTTGGTGGTCAGACCCGGGGCTGGGAGGAGGGCGCAGAGGTGACCCCTCTAGGGGCTAGGCTGCGGGGGCTCTGGCTGGCTGTGCATGGTCCGCCGAGCGGGGAGGGGTAGGGATCCTGGTCCCCAGCTGTCCTCGTGCAGACCCAGGTGAGTTCAAGAGCGCAGTGCTCTGAGGGGCCCCTGGGAACCAGAAACACCCACTCCCCTCCTTACCCCCCGCCCTGGTCTGAGGGTCTAGCCCCTGGCCCACCTCTCTGCTGGCCTTGGCAGGAGGAGGGAGCGTGGTGCCGGGGACTGTCCCTGCAGACTTTCCCCACCCTGCCCGAAGCTCACCCTGTACCCGCAGCTGCCTGGGCATCCCCTCCTCCCTCTGAGACGGGAGCAGAGGGATCAACACCCCCCTCCACACACATACCCCGCACCCCGCACCTCACCCCCGCTGCTCTGAGATCTGTCACCTGCGCTGTCCCCAGGGACCATGGCCACTGCCCTCTTGGGCATCTGCGGATGGTGAGGAATGGCAGGTACAGTGGAGGCCATGCTCCGGGGGGATGTGCGAAGCCCCCCATCCCTTGTCATTTCTGTCGCCCAGGAGTGCAATACGTGCATCAGTCCTTCCCGAGACTTTGTCCCCCTAACTGAGCCCATGGGGGACTATCACGGGGCTTCCGGTCAGTCCGGACAGAGGCATGTGTTCCCTCCTCCAAAGCCTGGGACCAGCTGACTGGTGTGACTTAGGGGAGGCAGCAGAGGAGGGCTAGGCCCAGTGGTGATGGTTAAGAGAGGTGACCCCCGGGCCTGTTTGTCCACAGAGTGGAGAAGCACCCTCGGGTCCTGGGCCCTCTTTCTCTCTGCAACATGCAGGGTCCTGGTCCCGCTAGCGCCCTCCCCTGCTGGGTGTGCTCAGGGCCCAGTTCCTCCACAGAGCCCAAGCAGCCCAGGGTCAAGAAGTCGTGGGCTTTTCTGACCCACAGCCTGACTAGGGACCCAGTGACAACACAGTGATGTCTGTCAGGTGGTGGGTGAGGCGAGGAGGCCAGGGCGAGGGACAGACTGGGTGTTGGTGGGGCCTGACCTTGGGTAGTTGCAGCTCCGAGCCTTCTCCAGGCAGGACAGGTGCTGGGGCATGTCGCGCCGTTAGTCACAGGCCGACGTCAGCCCCAGCTTTGCCCTTCCACTCGGCGACCTGGGACGCTCAGGGGTGCTGGGCTTGTCTCGCTTGTCTGCTCTTGCTCCGTCTCCCAGTGACCCTCCGGAGTTGGAGACTGTGGTCACTAGTGCAGAGGAGGGGGCCGAAATTCCGTCCTTCTGCTTGGATTCCATCTGAGGGCACCAAAGACACTCCTCCCTGAGGCAGAATCGGGGTGGGCACTGGCCTGGCGGCCACTTTCCCAGAGGGCTTCCTTCGGGCTTCCGGGAAGGGGTAGGCTGACTCTTGGCCAGAGGCTATAGAGTTGGTGCCCACCACTAGAGGGAGGGATTGAACGTAGCCCCTGGATGCACAGCTGGGGCCTGCAGGAGACTGCCCTCAGGCCTGGAGGTTTGGGGTGCCTCTGCCTTGGGGTGCAGATCCCTCACAGCCGCAGGCGTGGTCCTCCCGAGGAAGGGCAGCGGCGCCCTCTAGTGCTCACACTTGGCACTGATGCCCCCGAGAGGCCCTGGGCATCTCGCATTCAGGTTCCCAGCCAGAAACCCCTGAGGAACCTGGAGTGTTCTTGGAGAAGCCAGTGGGGAGATGAAGAGCCGGTGCAGAGCACTGGGCGGTTCCTCCTGTTCCCGGGTTGCAACCCTGTCCGCGCGTGTCCATGGTGGAAGAGGTGCTGGGGCTGGAGACAGAGGTCTGGGCCATGGACCCCAACCTAGGGGCCTTCACGCCAAGCTGCAGCTCCCACCACTCCGTGCACATCTGAGGGTCTAAGGACCGACCGTCCAGACCCCCATGTCAGAGCGAGCTGTCTTCGTGGTTGGTCCTTTCCCACCCATTCAATGTATGAGCTTCCTGAGGGCCAGTGGGGGTGACCTGTGTGTTCCCTGCTCTCTCCCCAACCACCACACACACACACGCACACACACACACACACACACACACGCCATAGAACTTTGTGCAAAGGATGGGGCGGAGGCGGAGGGGGAGGGTGTCTGTGGGATCAAGCTGTTTTTATTGTGGCCCACTTGAAGAGACAAATGTATTACAGTAGCCTTTTTGCAGTTGCTGCATCTCCCCACACCCGGGGAATATGTGTGTGTGTGTGTGTGTGTGTGTGTGTGTGTGTTGGTGCATGGGGGTGAGGGTTTGCACAGCCCCTGGGAGTTGGGAGCTGCGGCTACTGAAATGCGTGCACCGTTCCGGCTGCTTGCTGTGTGGGGTCATTGTGTTACTCATGATTGGAACTGGGGATCAGGAGTGGCCGTGGCCAGATGCCTGTTTTGCCGGCCTCGGTGAGGTTGCCATCAGCACATCATCTCCCCTTGACAGCTCACAGGCCTCCCTGGGTCATCTCCCTGCACCCAGGGGCGGGAGTGTTCCCATGCACCTCTCAGCTGAATGCCAGGAGACGAAGCCCAAGGAGGAGGGGAGCAGGGGTGCTGGCGTGGCGTGGGCCTCCCTCAAAGCCAGCCCGTACTATGGGGGGATGGGAGGTCTGAGAGGAGCCTGTGCAGGCCCACGTATGGGACCACAGTGGGGACACAGCCTTTCCCAGGACCACCAGGGAGGCCTGGCCCCAACCATACAGCGGGGACCCTGGTGTCAGGGTGAGTTTTCTGCAATGGCGGGGTCTGAGAGCAGCAGCCCGCAGCACCAAATGGTAGTTCCGCCTAGAGTTTCACTCCTCCAGGTGGGAAGGGCAGAGAAACACATTTGAGCTCCTTGGTTACGCTTCTCAGTTTTGTCCCTTGAAGAAACGTTGGGTGTCTCTGCTGAAGCTGAAGGCCCCTCCTTACCCAGCAAGTAGTGTGATGCCAGGCGGGCTCGAAGGGTCTGCAGAGATAGTCACACCTAGGGCTGTGTCACTGGCCTGTGCCAGGTGGAATGGTCAGGAGAAGCATTTAAAGTGAGAGTCTTTTGTTTTTTTGCCCCTTTTTTTCGGGGGTGGGGGAGGGGGGCATACTGGTGGTGCTTGGTCCATTTCATCTTGGTGTCTGGGAACCTTTCTGGGTGGTGCTTAGGGGACCATATGGTGTCAGGGAGTGAACCCCAGGCTCCCACATGCGAAGCACCAGTTCCAACCTTTGTCGCCCCCTCCTTGGCCCAGAAGCAAGGCCATCCGGAAGGCACACCTGGTACAGGATCGGGATGTGCGGGGGGCGAGGGGGAGGTGGTCAGGACGGCTGGTTGGAGGGATGGCCAGGATACTCCTGACACCCTGTCTGGTCAGAGGGATGACCAAGATGCTCTTGGTGCCCCACCTGGTCGGAGGGATGGCCGGAGTGCTCTCGGAGCCCTGTCTGGCCGGAGAGGTGGCCGGGATGCTCTTGGAGGTGCTGCCCGCTCTGGGGAGCTGTCCCCCAGGGAGAGCTCTTCGCTGGTTCCTTACCAACGGGTTTGTGTGCGCCTCAGGGGAGCCAGTGCCCGAGCAGGGTTGCCAGCCTTGCCTGCCGCTCCCTACCTGCTCGCTCACGCCCTGCAGCCCAACGCCAACCAGACAAGGGCGCGACTGCAGGGGTGAGTGGGGCCGGCGGCAGGCGGGCGTGTGGCGCTAAGCTTGGGGCTAGTTCACCTTGATCCTGCTCCTTTTCTCTAGGTCCCTGTGGTCACTTCCTAAAAGGGGCACTGTGGAGAGAGAGAGGTGACCGTGTCCCTGTGGGCTGTTGTGCTAGCCCGGAGTGTATTGTCTATAGGGGTATTGGGGTGGGCGCCCAGGAGTGCGAGCTGAGGGCAGGGTCTGGCCCTGTGAGCACTTTGCCCTCCCACTCCTCAGGTGGGCCTGCCTGTGTCTTGTCTGTGGTGTTAGCCTGGACTGAAGGGAGGAAAGGACGGGGCACGTTGGGCGTCTTGAGCCCAAGAGACCCTCTTTCAGATTCTTCAGACGGTGGTCAGGCAGGAGAGGCAGAGCCTAGGCGGGCAGGAGACTGAATCTATCCCCGGGTGGGATTATTGCCTGGCAGAGAGGGCAGGGCAGGAGTGTGTCTGGAGGTTTGGCCTCTTAGGAGGGCCTCCCCGCCTAACCTCCAGGGGTCTAGGCCTGAGGGTGCCCTGCCTGCAAAGCTCCTCTTTGCTCTGGGTAAAACTGATCTTCCTGTGTGTTGCCCCCCGTTCCCTGCCCTGGGTTTGCAGAGGGCCAGCCCAGCCTCTGCACGGCTCTGTGTGGGGGCTGATGTATTGGGGGCTCCCAGGGAAATCCCACAAACTCCAGACTAGGGGCCATTTCCCATCAACACCCCTCCTGGGCCCATGCAGATGACGGGGGAAGCCGCCGCCTCCACTCAGGGCGCTGCGCCTCAGTTTCCTTGTGGGGAGAAGTTCTGGAGCAGATGAAGAGGGGTTCCCAAGGGGTGTTTCTAGCAGGGCAGCGAGGGGACAAGGAATCCTGGGAGTCAGAGGCGGGCCGGGAGACCAGGGGCGGAGACCAGACAGGCTGCTGAGGCCTGCGTCTGACCGGAGAGCCTGGCTCAAAGAATCACATTCAGGCTGCTGAAACCTGGGTGTTCCGCACACCCCCTTTTTATCTGGCCTTTGTCTCTGTTCTGGGGAAAATGGAGAGCCCCTGTTCCTATCTCTCCCTACCTGGATCTTGATGTCAGCTATACCCTAAATAGACTGTTCAAGTAAGGGGGTACGCCTCTTGGAATAGACCCAAAAGACCAGAAGACTTGTTTCGTATCTGAGCCCAGGAGATAGGACTTTGGTTAGAGCACCTGCCTTGCTTATGACCCGGGTTTGGTCCCTGGCACCACGTGGTCCCTTGAGCATCCTCAGGTGCAGGCCTGGAGGTCCCCAGCAGCAATGTGGTGACCCAGGTTATCCCTAGTGCCCCAGGACCTGAGCAGCACCACATCCTCAGGCCCTTGTCTTGAATTGCTGGCAGGGTGGACTGAATCCCCTTTGGAAACCTTCAGGGTCTCATGAGCATCACTTTGGAGGTTCTCTCCGTCCCCCAGAATTAAGTTGTCCAGCACCTTGGGAGCATAGGCTTATTTTATGGAGTGGGTTTCTTGGGACCACAGGAGCCCTGGTGACATCCTGACAGTGGCGGGGCTGTCTGCCAATGCTCCACCCTGTCTCCCCAGCAGGCTGCTTTGCAGGCTGGCCTGTGCTTGCTGGCCGTGGGGACGCCTGACCCCGCGCGCCTTCCTGCTTGCTCAGCTATGGTACTCCTCCAAGAAACACGGGGTTCCTCTTAGCTGGGCGCCTTGTCCTGCCTGGCAGCAGCCCACGCATGGCCTCCCCTTTCTGCAAGGGGTCAGCAGAATTCCATCTACCTCAGAAGTCACAACTCCAGGGACACAGGTGCACCTAGTACAGGGGCTTATTGGGCTGTGGACCAGCGACCCCTACTCATTGTCCCCTCCAGGCCTCACACCCTGTGGGGGATGGGCATGACGCACTGGGAGGCTGGTGCCAGGACCCCACATCTGGAACCCTGGGGGTGGTTGGAGGATCGAATGAGCTTAGCCCGTAATTTTCCTCTTTGGGGTGCCCGGTAAGGCAACCCCGGTGCGAGTCTGGGAAGGGGGGTGGCTGCGGGGGGGGGGGGCGTCGACTTCCTTCAGTCCCTGGCCCATGTGTCAGTTGGGGGCCCCTTGCCCCTGGAAGACAATGACACCGGGTGTGGTCTATGGTGGGGGCGTGGCCTGTATCGGGGGCGTGGTCCAAAAGTAGGGCGTGGTTCAACGGCGAGGCGTGGCCTGCCGCTGGGGGCGTGGTCTGAGAGTGGAGGGGGCGAGGCGGTCTGTAGTGCGCCTTTCCAGGCTCCAAATTAACCTGGAGGCTCACGGTTTTGTCTCCCTCCACAGCCTGGACGTGTCTCCTCAGGTAGAATCTGACCCAGCTGCTGCTCCTCACCACCTCCCCTGCTCCCCCTGTGCTCGGGCCCCCCCCACTCCTGCTCCCACCGCTGCTCCCATGCTAAGCACTAACCTTTTTGCAGCCGCCTCCCCCGCTGCCGCTGCCGCCTCCGCCTCCGCCGTCGCCCCCGAAGGCACCCCCGAAGCCACCCCAACCGGACTCTTGGGTCTCACCAACCCGTTCCTCACCTCCATGCAGAGCAACCCTTTCTTCGAGGAACTTGTAGCCGACATAGCACTAAACTCTCCTTCACCTGCTCCCTCTCTCCCCAGGGCCTTGAGGGCCAACCCTGCCCCCCTGGCCTCCCCCGGGATAGCCCCGCCCGAGTGGGACGACACCTTCAACGTCTTTGCCTCCGGAAGGCTGCGTGCAGAGGCCGGGCACGCGGGCCCGGTCCCCGAAGGCGAAGGCCCGGGGCTGGAGGCCGCTGGCGTGCACCCCGCGGGCCCCACCGAGAAGGAGGCTGAGCCCCAGGGGGAGCCCGTGGGCCGAGGAAGCGGTGGGAGCAGCGAGCGGCTGGAACCCCGGCCGCCCCTGGACTTGGGACTGGCCGGCCAGAGCCCGAGTGCGGCTGATGAGGGGCCCCCCGGGTCGTCGGTCGCTCCGGGCCTGTCCTCCACCGAGTCAGCCCCTCGGCAGCCTCCAGCTGTGGAATGGGATGCGGCCCCCGCCCAGGAAGCAGGGCAGAGTCCAGCAGACAGCGGGGCCTCTCGGTTCAGTTCCCCGGAAGTGATCAGTGTGTGGGAGAAGCTGCCTGGCCCTGATGACACCTCGGAGGGCTCGGACCAGGGCCCCGCCCAGGGCGCCAGCCAGCTGTTCCCCGAGCTGAATGCAGCCACCGCCGCAGACTCCTGGCCCTGGGACGTGGTCACCATTTCGCCGGCCGCCGAGACGCCCTCACCTGTCCTGCCCCAAGAGCCCGAGCAGCAGCCGCCCAGCCCCAGCCAGCCAGAGCCACTGGAACCCGTGAGTTCCAACGGGAGTGAGGGGCTCCCCCCGGCAGAGCTGGAGCTGGAGCCAGAGCCCCAACTCGAGTGGGGGCTGGACCAGGGGGTGCAGCCCGGCACGCCCCCTCCCAAGCCTCCTCGCCTCTTTACACCCTCTGATTCCAAGGAGGAGTCAGGGGGCCCGGGCAGCAGGGGCCCAGAGCCGGCAGGAGAAGATGCATTCCCCGCGGCGGTGCTACTGGTTGGGCCCCCGGACGAGGGGGACAAGCCGGCGGGCCCTGGCCTGGAAGAGCCCGTGGAGGGTGCCGGCTCCCCTGAGTCTGGGTCCTGCAGCTCTCTGCCTGGAGTCTTCCCTGAAGGTTCCAACCCTCTCCCCTGCTACTCAAAGAGCTTGACCTTTCGGAGTGAGCAGATCTGGGGGTCCCCAGAAAGAGGAGAAGGTCCTGAGGCCCCCCAGGCTGAGAGCCCAGGCTCAGCAGGGAAGGGGCTTGGGCCCCAGCCACGCAGCTCCCAACTGGCTGACTCGTGGGCCTCGAAGGAGGACGCCTTCAACCCCTTCTTTCCTCGGGGGAGCCAGGATCCCCCCAGCTTCCCGTCCACGTCCCCTCCAGGGTCCAGGGAGTCTTCCATCCCCTCCGATCCCGAGGAGCTGCCCACGCCCCCAGAGCCTGCCTTCCCCCCACCTCCTCTCCCGCCCTGGGCCAGCCATCGCCACGGGGCCCCCAGCCCTCCTTGCTCTCCCCTGCCTGGAGCCTGGCCCCTGACCTCCTCCTCCTCCCCGCCCCCCGGGGAGCCCGCCTCCCCACCTGGGGGCACTCCCACCCCACGTGGGGAGGACCACGCTGCCGCCACCCCAGCCTCCCCGCTTGTGCTTCTGCCCTTGGAGACACGACCAGCTGAGGAGCTGCAGCCCGCTGCCAGGTGAGAGGCCGCCCCAGGAACTGGCTCTCAGAGGACTGGGAGGAGGTGGAGGAGGTTGGTGGGGGGAGAAGGGGCAGGGCAGCCCCCCCCCACCCTGCCCCCGTGGGTGGGTGGGTGGGACACTCCAGTCCAGCCTTGCACAGATGAGCCACCTCCTTACTGAGCTTCAGATGGGCCAGGTGTCCCAGGAGCCAGGGGGGTTGGTGGATGTTGCTGACGGGGTTCCAGGGGTTGGGAATGGGGTAAGGGGGACCAGAACTCAGCCCTGGTGCCTAGGCTAGTGAGGCTTGTTCAGTGTGGGAGCCAGCAGAGCCATCTGGAAGTGGGGCCCCAGGTCCTGTCTTCCTGGTCCTGGTCAAGACTGGTGAGGGCACTGGAGAGGCAGAGGAGGGACTGAGGGGTGGGAAGAGACTCAGAAGTGCAGAAATGCTCCCCCATACGACCAGCCCTTCCTCCGAGGCTCCAGCCCCTCATGTGCCTCCTCACGGGGCCCAGTGTTGTAAGGACGCAGTGTGAGGATGCCTGGTGCCTGTGTGGCAGTGGTCTCTGTTGGGGACCTCAGCAGGAGGCTGATCTGAGCTGGGTCTGGAGCCTGAGGTGGCTGAGGGAAAGAATGGGACCACGGGGAGTGACTTCAGGGGCCACCAGGACCGGAGTGAGGGGTGGGGTGTTCGCACTCCTGATGTTGGCCTCGAAGCAGAGGTGGAGGAGCAGGAGATGAACAGGGCAGGGTGAGGGCCATGGGCAGAGGATTGAGTGCAGAGTAGGATTCCAGAGTTTATCTCAAGCACCAATTACGAGGCATCGGTTAAGATGGAGGCCACCCCATCTTACCAATTGCAGGTTAAAAAGCAAGGCAGTGTAGGGACAGTTCACACATGGGCAGAGTAAAAGAGCAAAAAGCTCTCAGCTGTGTGTTCTGGGGGGTGACCCAGAGCAGAGGGGGAGAAGGGTGGAAGGAAGCTGACAGCTTCACCCACAAACAAGAGGAACATTAGGCTCCAGGAACCCCAGCCAGCTCATTCTCAACATCGGCCACCAGATGCTGAGAAGCAAGGAAAGGTAGAGTGTGCCCAGGCAGTGTGGGGACAGAGGGGTCCCCGGGATGCAGCTGAAGGGGTCTGCAGGGATCTCGAGGTGGCTGGGGAGGACCTGGGTTAGGGGGCTGCAATTTGAGTGGCAGGTGGCGATGCAGGAGAGGAGGGTTCCCGGCTGTCCCTGCTGCATTCCGCCTCCGGGACACTTGCCACCCTAGGAGTCTGCTTCTCTTCAGAGCTGTCTCCACATGTGTACTTGGCATGTTCCGTATGCCATGAAGTGAATGGGCCAGACAGAGCTGTCCCCAGTTCTCGGATGTGGAGTAGAAACGAAAGAGCTGCAAAAAGCCCAAGGTCCCTCCTGCCTTTTGAGAGGCACAGACTCCCAGGATTCTGGCCCCCTTTCCAGTGTGTGCTGTGAGCCCAGCGGGGAAGCCGGGCCTTCCTGGGCACACCTCCCTAGCACCACCCACAGCGGGCTGCTTCCACACCTCCATCCCCGGGAGAAAGAGACATATGCCCTCTCTGCCTTCCTGTCCGTGCCTGCTGGGGCTCTTAGCTGCTCCCTGAGCCACAGCCCCCCTCCTCGATGCCGGAGCTAGCTGCTCTGGGCATGGGGTCCCCTCCCTGGAATTCAGGACCTGGGACTAAGCCCCTTTGCTTGCTAGTCCTGAATACTCTCAGGACTGTGCAGAGTGAGCCTCGAGTTGCAGAGGGCCCCTGGAGGGGGGGCAGGCTGGTGGGTTTTGGGCTCTGCAGCTTGCAGTTAGTGTACCGGTCCACCAGCTTAGGGAACTGGGGGGGGGGGGGGGGGTCCCAGTAGAGTCACTAAAGAATCAGCCTAAAGAATCAGGAGAGTTTCTGAGGGCAGGTGGCCTTGCACAGCCTGGGGGCATGAGAAGGAGCTAGGTGGGCCTGCGGCCTGAACAGGGGAGAAGAATGGGTCCTTGGATAGGGGCAGGCAGGGGAGTGGATGGGAGGGCAGCAGCATACTGTGTCTCCTGCACTAGGGAAAGGGAAGCGAGGAGAGGCTGACTGGAGCAGACCAGAAACAGCTGCAGCCAGAGCAGGGGGTGGTGGGAGAAAGCCGGGTCTGATGCTGGTTGAGACGGACCGTAAAGCAGGTGCTGCGTGGGGTTTCCAGGCTTCTTACTGGGGCCAAGGCTGGCTCATGGTGCCCCGCTTTACTGGGGATTGAAGGAGAGGGCAGAAGGCCTGGGGCAGACCCAGAGGGGAGCCCGCCTGAGGCCAGCCGGCTACATCTGGAGTTCAGGCCTGAGGCCTGGGCTGGAGATGAAAGAGGTGGGAGGGGTGGCGGGGAGGGAGGGAGCCTAAGCAGATGAGCGTGAGGATGAACCAGAGCAGGGCACAGGGGTCAGGGAATTGGATGGCGGGGGCGGGGGGGGGGGGGGGAGAAGAGCAGGATGAAGGGAGGCATGGTCTGAGGGTGCTCCTCACGGGGAGCTGGTGAGGCCGGCCCTGGACTTGGCCTCGGCCTGAGAGCATGTGGCCCACATGCTCTGAGCCCGGTGGGTCAGTGAAAGGTAAGCGTGGACAGTGCCCAGCAGGCTGCAGGCCCAGAGAGGCTGGGTGGGAAGAGGTGGGCATGGAGGGTAGGGAGAACCTGGGCCCTAAGGCCCTGTGCAAGCCCCGTGGAGAGAGGCGGGTGACCAAGCACCCCACTTCCTGGGTTTTGCACTGGGAAGTCCACAACTCTGAGGAAATTGAGGAGACTGGGAGGGTTGAGAAAGATTACAGAGAAAAATTACAGGGGCAGGGGTAGATGGAAGGAAGAGGTCCTGGTCAGGACTGAGCTCTTGCAGAGAAGATTGGAGGATAACGTCTGCCCTTGCCAAGGACCATGGTCGTCAGGGAGGGGGTGAAGGGGGAAGATCCACTCAGCAGAAGTAGAACATGGGGTGAGGGCAAAGAGAAGGGGGTGCTGCCAAGTGCTGGGTGGAGGTTCCCCTCCCCCCCAAAGCCTTCAGTGAGTGGGTGCCACCTGGCACAGGTGGCTTCTGTGTGGCAGACCTGCGTGCCCCAGACCTTTTCCTGGAGCCCCCCCCCCCATGCCCGTCTCTCCCTAACGCATCTCCGGTCTGTCCTTGTAGCCCGCACCCCGTGAAGCCCCTGAGCGCTGCATCCGTGGAGGGCAGCCCCGAACGGAAGCTGTCACGTTCCAGCCTGAGCACCGCCCTGAGCAGTGGGCTGGAGAAGCTCAGGACCGCCACGTCTGGCAGCGTGCAGCCCGTGGCACCTGCCCCGCAGCAGGGCTCGGTGGCGGACACCAAGAGGCTGAAGGTGAGGCCAGGTGCAGGGCTATGGAGAGACGTCAAGGGTCCAGCTCCCGGGACAGTCAGGCACAGCGGTGGGGGGGGGGGGAGGGGAAATGGGGGGGGAGGGAGGTGACTCAGAGGGTGTGGCTCGAGGTCCCTCTGCTCACTTTCCTCCTCGCTTCCCTCTTCAGGACTCTGGGGTGCTGGACCAGTCGGCCAAGTACTACCACCTGACCCACGACGAGCTCATTGGCCTGCTCCTCCAGCGCGAGCGGGAGCTGAGCCAGCGGGACGAGCACGTGCAAGAGCTGGAGAGCTACATCGACCGCCTGCTGGTGCGCATCATGGAGACCTCGCCCACCCTGCTGCAGATCCCCCCCGGGACCCCCAAATAGCTGTCCTCGATCCCCCCACTCCCACAAGGACCGAGGTGGCCCCACCTCCCAGTTTGGGCTCGCGACCTCCTCCCCCATCCCTTTTTAAGTGTAACTAGCCTTGGGGGTCAATCAATGGGGGGGCAGGGGGTAGGGCTGGTGCTGAGCCCTTCCCTCCATGTCTCTCCCCCGTCCCTCCGGCCTCTCAACCTCAAACCGGGGCAGCTGAAATTGAGGGGCCCCTGGGACTCCCCCTGTGGAGGCATCTGGCTCTGCGTCCCAACGGTGCACCTTCTGGAAGCCTCCGGAGCTTTCCCCACCTGTCTTTCAGCATTCCCCTTCGCTTTGGGGGCCTCTAGGGAAACTGAGCCGAGAATCTGGCCCTCCAAGACTGAGCTGGGGGGGGGGGGTTGAGGCAGGGGGACTGCCATGTGACATGGTTTCTGGGCCATACTTGATTCCCCTCCCAAGGAAGGCTGGCTGTTTCTTCCACCGCTAAACGCTCGTCCTCTCCATCTCCCTCCAGCCCCTGGAGGGCGCCTAGTATCTCCCGGCGCTGTGACAGGTACCCGGCTGCCTGTGCCTCTGATGGAGGGGCAGCCCGGGCTCGCGCATCTCAGGCTCCCCTCTGCAGAGAACAGCCCAGAGGAGCTGTGGGATCCCACCACCTTTTTTCTGCCTTGCCCCCTGCTGTCGGCTGGGCAGACAGCGCCCTGAGGCTGGCCTGGGTGCTCCTGCGCCCTCCCGGCCCCCTGCTCTGGCCTTCCCATGGACTGTGTCACCTGAAACTGGAGAGCTGGGACAGGCACGTGAGCATTGGGCGTTGGGGTGGGGCGCCTCTTCACCCACCTCCGTGGTATGTGCCCCTCCAGGCCTTGGGGCTCTGGGTTGTTCGTGTTTAGTGGATTAAGCCCCCCTCGTTTCTGTTCTTGTTGCCGGTTCAGATGCCAAAACTCTGTGCGGCTGCAGGGTTTGAACTTTTGGGAACCAATTCAAACGTGCCTTTTGTGGGCGGGGTCCAGAGCCTCTGGATATATACACCTCTCCCCGTGTTTGGCGATGCCCCCACCCCCCCCAGTCGAGCACATGGGGGTGCTGATTTATGGGGGCCACGAGAATGGAGTTGGCAGCTCTTAGGGCGTGGGTCGTGGGGGCGTGGGGACAGCCCTGCTGCACTCAGCCCCTGCCCTGGACAGATGTCAGTGAAGGGTCTGCCAGCCGAACCTCTGCTGTCCCTCAGCCTTGCTGATCTGTGACCCTGCGCAGAGCAGGGGCCCAGGATTACACTACCTTCTGGGAGTTGGAGGTCCCACTCTGCTCTCCCTGGGAAATCGCTTCATCCCATCCATCTACTAGCTGCTGACACAGCCTGTTCCTTCTGTCCACAGCGCTGCCTGGCTGGGCTGTAGCCACCTTGAGAGGGCAATTTGTCCGAGCCAGCAAATCCTAGCCATGGGTTTGCTTGTGCAAAGCATGGCAGGCCTCCCTGTGGCCCTGGCACAGGAGAGAATGTCAGTAGTACTAGCAAAAGCTGTGGGGTGTGAGGGGCTGAAAGTGGATGCTTTAGGCCCAGTAAGGAGGTGAGAGTTCCCCGATGGCAGTCTTTTCTTCATGTGCAGGGACTTGGGGTCATCCAGAAAGCCCTGGTAGGAGATATAAAATCCTCCAGGAGCCCCATGGAGGGAAAGTTCCAGTAATGTTAGCTACTGTAAGGACCACTCGTGAAAACCAAGAAAATCATTCACGGGCACACATGGGGAGAGTGGTTATCGGGGCTGGCTGTTGGAGAGGTGTGTCTTTGTGAAGAGCTCATTCCCCGACTAGTTGCTCCTCTGGGCTCTTTCCAGTCCTGGCCTATAGCTTTCGCTCAGGCATTGATGATAGGCCTTCAAAAATGCTCAGGGCAGGGATGTCTGCCCAAAAGTTATGAGTTTTTACTCGATGGCTTTGTGTCTTGGCTACAAGGTGGAGAAGGCCTGCAGATGGGTTGGACAGGGAGCAGGCACAGTTCTGCTTGGCTGTTTGTCTCCTAGTTGTAACTCCGGTTTCTAAAGAGCTTGTTCTTCATAGTTGGAGCACTTATGAAGAATAAACATTTACATACTGCAGGCGGCTCTGCTGTGTTCCTGGCTTGATGTGTGACAGACACTTCCTGGCGGGGAGGAGGCAGGGGGCTGGGGCTGGTACTCTCTGTCTCTCCTGACAGCACAGCAACACAGGGTTGTTCAGGGGCTGGAATCTTCTCAGTCACAGACTCCCCATGTGTATTGAATGTCATTGTATAGGGTGGATTGTAGCAGGTCATTGTAACTGTAACAAGCAAGACTAGATCTGAGTCTAGTCTCAAGCTAGTTTTGTAGGAAAAGAATATAAACACAAGTTACAGAAGATTCTGCCAGGCTAACTAGCACCTCCCCAGCCTAAGGAAGTCTGTCTCTTGTGGTTCAACCCGTAGTGGATAAGGAACTGACTGGTATAACTCATGCAGTGTCCAGAGGTGTGAACCAAGTTTGTAGCTCAGATAGAGACTAAGAAGACCCAAAGTGAGGGTCAGTAGGGGCAAAGCCTAATATTCCTCTTGTTCATGGGTGAAGTTGTCAGCTTCCCTCCACCCTTCTCTTCCTGCACTCTGGGTCACCACCGGGATCACACAGCTGAGAACTTTGTGCTCTTTTATTCTGCCCATGTGTGAACTGTCCCTGCACTCCCTTGCGTTTTAACCTGCAGTTGGTAAGATTGGAGGTCCCCATCTTAACTGATGCCTTATAATTGGTGCTTGAGATAAACTCTGGGATCTTACTCTGCACTCAATTTTCTATCAGTTCATTAAACTCAGGAGGGATCTTCTATGGTTGAGAGGAATTGGCAGCTGATGCATTCATATGTCCATAAATACTTGAGTGCCTGCTTTGTACCCTCCCATGCATTTCACTGAAGATTTAGCATTGAGTTAATAAATTACAACTGCAGCCCTGTTAACCTTCCGATAGGAAGACAAAAATATATGTGCGTAATATGAATGCAAGGGCAGCAAAAGAAGAAGCCTATAGTGGATTTTGTGGAAGTAGGGCAAGGGATGGGGGAAATGAACCGTTTATACGAAGCCAAAAAAAAGAGTCAGCATCTGAAGATGAGAAAAAAGCGATATCCTGGATACAGAATCTTCAAAGGTCGGGGTGGCCATGGGCCAGCATGCTCTTGGAACTGTGTCAGGATGGCTGGAGAAGGCAGGGCAAGGGACTGAGTAGCGACAGAAGAAAGAGCATAAAGATTCCGCAGTGCAACTCCTTGCGGAAAATCTTTGGAAATTTAACCCTGCCCTGCCCGGAGTCCCGGCCCATAAGGGTCCCGGGCGGGACCCGTGTCCTTCGGGAGCGGCGCCCACCGCAGCCCCCAAGCCTCTCGGGGCAGGTAGATAGGAGTCGCCCCGAGGCCCCCAGCCTTACAGTCGCACACGCACACTGCCTCCGGACTGTCCACCTCTGCAAAACCCAGCCGCAGAAACCGAGACTGCGGTTCGGAGTTGGTGCAACTCTCTGCAGCCGAGGGCTGTCAGGCGCCGTCCCCGGGAGAACCACAATCCCCACAACCCCTTGCGCCCCCGCCTCGCTGCGGTTGCTTGCGGCCAATCGGGAACGACAGCTGTGGCGGGGGCCGAGGAGGGACATTTTAAAAGGGCCGGAAATTGCGGGCGTCAGTGGCCATGGCGGATACAGCGACTACAGCATCGGCGGCGGCGGCGGCGAGTGCCGCTAACGCCACGACCGATGCACCCCCGTTCCAGCTGGGCAAACCCCGCTTCCAGCAGGTGAGGACTGGGCTGGGGTCTCTGAGGGTCGGCGGATAGCCTAGGGAGGATGAGCAAACTCCTTGTCCCAAATCCCCCCTCTAGACCTCGGGTGCCCGACCCGCGGCCACTGGGGAGCTTGCAGCGACTGCCTCGGGGACCTCGGCCACAGCCGTCCCCCTTCCCATTGGTCAGCGAGGTGGGCGAGGACTCCCACCGCGGCTTCCGATTGGCCGCCGACGCCGTCACTCCGGGGCTGCACGCGCCCGCCGGCCTCTCCCGCTCGAGGCGCCGCGTGATTGGCCACTGCGGGGCCGCTGCCCGGGATCCCGGGCGCCCGGGGTCCGAACAGCTTCTGCAGGGTCTCTGCGGGCTGTGCAGCCGCCCGCTCCAGGCTGAAAGTTCGAGTCCGAGTCTGGAGGAGAAGTTGGAGTGGCCACGATCCCGCGAACTTTCCCTCCCCTGAGTGACCGGGGGCGGGGAGGGGGGGGAACTGACCTTCTGGCGGAGCGCGCGGCTGGCAGGACCCGCGCTCCGCAGTCGTGGTCCCAGCTACCCACCCCCAGCCGGGTCCGCAGTGTGAAGGTTCTAGGGCCGCGAACCGAGGGGGCTGACTGGTGCCCGGCGACCCCCGTCTCCTCCGGGCGTGGGGAGCCGCTGACGCAGCCTGTCAACCAGCTGATGCCCTGCCGGGGATGGAGCAAGGACTTGTGGGGAGATCCGGGGTGCGGAGGAATCGCTGTGTCATCCCTTGGGGCCGCCGCCGCTCTCGGGGGAGGGGGGGTCGGTGCTCCCAGGGGTCCTCTCTGGTGTCCTTCAGCACCGTGACCTCGGAGGAGCGGCTCCCGCACCCGGGCATCTCCCTGCGCTCCGCTCTGCCCGACACGCTCACACGCTTCAGGGCGCAGGTGACTGTGGTCCTTTTTCTCCGTGACCTCTGGCCTGATGTCGCTATCTTGCCCTGGACCTCGGGAAGCTGGGGTCGAATCCACAACCCGGACGTGGAGGGAGCGAGGGTGGGGAGTCTGGAAGGGCTCGTACCCACACCCGGGGTCTTCAGCCCCAGCTGCCTCCTGCATGGAGCAAACGGACTTTTGAAAAAGAGCAAAGAGATTCCCTTGCCTGGGGGGGTGGGTGGCAGCACAGAAATTCGTTTTTGGAAAGAGGAGAAGTTGTCCAAGGGTCAGTGAAGTGGTTCTTGTTGTCCTTTTGAGTTTTCCCTTTTGAAGTGGTTTTTGTTGTCATTTTGAGTTTTCCTCCTCCCCTCCTTCCCGACCCCCCCCCCCCCCCCCCAAGCAGGAGAAGGACTGGTTCCACCAACTGCTGCACTGAGCCTGAATAATTAAGAAGCCTTCTGTAAAAACATCCTCACTGTTTTTAGAAAGGGCTTTAATTCTTTAGAAACCAAACCAAAGACAAGCTATCTCAGGCCGGAGAGATGACTCAGAAGGCTGGAGCACATGCTTCGCATGCAGGAATGGGGGCTTGCTCCCAGGCCCCTCATGGTTCCCTGCGCAGGAAACAGGGGGTCTTCTCCAGCACCCCTTTGTGTGGCCTCATATCCCCAAATACTAATAGATTAAAATGAAACATAGCATATATGGCTATCAGGAAGAGGGGGGAAGTGGGGGGAGAGAGAGAGATTTTTTCCTGCCTTGTGGCGTTCACTTGATTTGGGCCACAGATACTATTAGGGGGCTCTGCCTGGCCTTGAGTAACATCATTAACTCCCCCCCCCCCCCCCCTTCCTCTACACACACTTTCTGTTTAACCCTCCTGGCTCAGTCAGGCCCACTCTGAAATCCTCCCTCCTTCCCCTATGACATCCCCCCTAGGTAGAATGAGCTGACTGCTTGTCTACTGCCTCCTCTTGGTCACCCCAACTGGGATCCTCCCTATGGCCCTTGACTTGTCCCCCGATGATTATTTTGTCTCTGTGCGTAACTTTTGAGAGAAAGGGCTGAGCACGCTTCCCATGTCTCCAACCTCCTCTACTGAGGAATGTCACAGCACACAGTAATGTGCTGGACTTAGACTTGAGGGGTTATCTTTATTTTTTTTCAAGTTTTTTCTTTTGGGCCTCCTTTGGCACTGCTGCAGGGGCTACTCCCAAGTCGCTGAGCTCAGTAGCTCCTGGCATTACTGGGAGTACCAGATAGTGCCAGGAATAGAACCATGGGGTGGGTAGGGTGTGCCGCGGGGTGACTCCTGTATGCACAGAGTGCACCCAGCTTGTGGAGCTATGTCCACAAGAAAATAACCCAGGTAGGCCCTCTGGATTATTTCCTAAGTGATTCCTGTCCTGAAACATTCAATCACCTTTGCTGAGAACTTCAATTTAACTGGCTTGAATGACAGCTCTTGGCTGTGATCACTGCTGGGGCCATAAATGCACAGTTGAGGCTACTCTGTTCTGACAACCATTGCTGTTTCTTTCTGGCACTGCTCTTAAGGGTAAGGTGTTGGATTTGCTTCCCCTCCACCCCCTCCCTCCTCCAGTGACCTGCTTAAAGCACCCTGCATGTGATTCATCCCTGTTCAGAAACTACCCGCAGTCCTCTTCCTCCTATACTGTTCTTTGGCTGCGCATGCAGCCCGGTCTGCCACCTCATTGACTCCAGAATCTGGGAGTCATCTGTATGCGTCTCTTTCGCCCTTAAAATACAAGGGGACACACCATAGTCTCTTCTCTCAGTGGCTCACCAAGCCCTATTGTCTATCTCCTGGGCCCCTGCCAAAGACTCCACAAACAGGTCTCCCTGCATCCACTCTGGTCTTCTTCCAACTCTGCCCTCTTATGCCTAGAGGAGTTCAGAAAACACAGATCTCTGACTCCCTGCAAGTCTGGTCAAGTGACCCTCCCCCGCCAATTCCACATGTACTCAAACACTCTCCAGTGGCGTCCTCACTTCTTTTCTCTTTTCTTTTTTCTTTTCTTTACTCTTTCTTTCTCTCTCTTTTTTTCTTTCGTGTTTTGAAGCAAGTTTTTAGTGAATGAAGCTTATTTAGAAAGATGTAAGGTGGGGGAGAAGGAAGGGATTAGCGTTCAAGACAGAACATGAGCTTGAAGGAACAAACATTGGACCACCATGATTGTACAGTGCGGAGATGGCACCTACCTTGCAGGTGGCTGACCTCCCAGCATCCCGTAGGGTTCCATAAGTCCCGCCAGGAGTGATTCCTGAATGCAGAGCCCTGAGCGATGCTGGGTGTGGTCCACACACACACACAACAAGCAAGCAAAGAGAGAGATGAGCAAGCAAGGTATGTGTTCAAGGAAGAATACGGGCTTGAAGAGAAAGCCAAGGCTTCCGACTTCAAAGATAAGGCTTTGCTTCTACATCAGTCTCATTCTGGCCTGTCCATGATGATTCTTTTTTTTTGGGGGGGAGGGGTCAGATCCGGCAATGCACAGGGGTTACTACTGGTTCTACACTCAGGAATTACTCCTGGCGATGCTCAGGGGACCATATGGGATGCTGGAAATCGAACCCAGGTCGGCCTCATGCAAGGCAAATGCCCTACCCGCTGTGCTATCATTCTTGCCCTCCATGATGATGCTTTCTCCCCCTTTCCTTTCCTTTTTTGCTGTTGTTGCAGTGCTGAGGTGGCACATGTGCTTGGTTGTGATGCTTGCCCAGGGTGGCACACTTTTTTTTTTTTATTGAATCACCGTGAGAACAGTCACAAAGCCTTTCAGTTCAAGTCTCGGTCGGTCATACAATGATCAAACACCCGTCCCTTCACCAGTGCACATTTTCCACCACCAAGAACCCCAGTATATCCCCCTCCTTCCCACTCCCCACCTGTGTGGAAGATTTCCAGTTTACTCTCTCTCTACGTTGATCACGTTCAATATTATGACAAAAGACCCAACATTATTATTTGGAAGTTTTCCCCAACATTCAGACCTGTCAAAAAGACATTAGATAATTTGTTTTCTATTGCTGATTATGAAGAGCATATGATGTCATGTGGCCACAGTGGTGGCCACACGAATTTGGATTTCTAATATTTTAGTAATAAACCTAGAGGGATTACTGCCCAAAGCCCCTGGGTTCCAAGATTGGTTTGTGTGCCTCTGGATCACGGTTGTTCAGAAGCCAGAGGAGGTGTTGGAGGATGGCAACCTGGAGCATTGTTGTGGAGGGAAGCAGGGTTGATTCCACCCGCCATCGCATGAGGCCCCACGTGCCTTGTCAATGTAGTCTCATACCTGACTGTTCATTAGGCTCTAAAAGATGCAGGAGTGACACACTTTTTACTTGGAGTGCCCACCCACACTGAGCTGCAGCATGCTGGAGAGCTCATACTTCTCAGACTGAAGGATTCCAAATAGCAGAGTCACAGGCACCTTGCTCAGCACATGTGGGTGGCACTGGAGTGGAACCTGGGGGCAAGGCACGTACTTCTGCAACTGAGCCCCACCTGGGGGCCCCACAAAGAGAGAGTTTGGTGAAGCATTATCCCACCTACCCAATCAACCTTGTAAGTCAGTATTTAGAAATTTGTGCAGTGCTGGGGAGCAAAGGTCTGGTGTGTGCATTCTACCACAGAGCCATATCTGCTGCCACTCACATATCAACTTCACTCAAGTCCACCAAGACCTGCAGAAGTGACTGCAGAATATCCAGGTACTGAGCATCTTTATTCAGCAACTCCAGGCACTGTGCTCAACCCGGGATCACTGGTGAATGAAAGCAGGCACAGCCCCTGCTCTTCAGCGCCTGCAGTGGAGGATGGCAGTAGGACGGTCCCCCAGATGCATGCCCCGAGATAGGTGCTTTGCAGTAGGGGACACAGTTGAGAGCTGAACTTGAGATGGGAGAAGGTTTCCCTAAAGAGCCATTCTTGGACAACACACCAGGGTTGAGCAGGAGTTGGGAGGGGTACGGATGGGGGGTTGTGTCAGGAGATGATGTAACAGGTGAAAGTTCAGTGTCTGAAGGGAACACAGTGGGTTCCAGGAGCTAAAAGCGGAAAGTGGGGTGGAAAGAGGGTGAGCTTAATTAAAGGAAGAG